TCTCATGCAGGGACATGAGAGAAGCCTCCGACAGGATGATAGAACATCCGGGTGTCCCCTGGGCAATGTCCTTGCTGATGGCCAATTCTCTCACACCAGAAGCGATTTGCAGTTTCTCAAGTCACTCCTGACACGAAAAACAAATACCCCCCCCCACTTTATATTCAATGTGTGTTGCTCTGCAGTTATAGTATACATACAGGTACGCTTTAATGGACAAATCCTCAGACAATTGAAGTGGTGTCAAACTGCATTAATTCAATGTACCCTTGGGTATTTCATTTCACATGTTTGTATTGTTAATTTTGAATGCAAAGTTTGCTATAGCATGTTGAACTGTTCTCCTTTTTGTGATGCAGGAATCTATCTCCCTCTTTTACATGTTATTTCTGAAAAATCATACCTAGAATCACATTTACTTCATTAACTGAGGTATACCTGTATATAACATTTCTAAACTCTTTTCAGTGTTCTGAACTCACCCAGTTCCTTCCACTGCAAGTGAAATCAAACCTTTTTAATTCAGAAAAAAACTTTTCCCATGGTTCCACACTCTGTTTACCTTTATGCATTTTTAATACTCTAATTGTGATTAGAAGCTATTTGTTTGGCTTTCCTCCAAAGAACTTACATAATCCTCATATTAGCATAAAAAGGGAGGGAGGAGAGGAGAGAAGTCTAGTAGCACTTATAAAACTAAATGATCTATTTTAGCATTAGATTTTGTGGATACCAATCCACTGCTTCAGATTATTATTAGTAGACTTTATAATAACACTGTTTAAAGAGAGACCATGATATTACTTATGCATTCCAATTTTGCTCCAAGATCACGGCGGCATACCTAATTGTCTTCCTCCCTCCTGTTTTATTCTCATAGCAATGGAAGGTAGGATGGGAGATAAGCCCTATGAAGCAAGGAGATGTGTATTAACTAGGCTTGCCCTTCCATTCCCAATCTGTCTGTGCTGGAACAGAAGGTATGAAAAGGAACAGAATATTCCACACACAGAAATACTACTGCCCAGTTCTGAGCATCACAATTCAGGAAGGATATTGACAAGCTGGAAAGCATCCAGTGAAGGGCAAACAAAATGGTAAAAGACCTTGAAGTCAAGCCTTCTAAGAAGTAGTTTAGAGAGCTGAGCATGTTTAGCATGGAGAAGGGGAGATTAAAAAGAGATGCGATAGCCACATTTAAATATTTGAAATATTTGAAAGGATGTCATATGAAGGCAGTGGTCCCTGTGGGTCCCCAGGTGTTTTGGCCTACAACTCCCAGAAATCCCAGCCAGTTGTTAGGATTTTTGGGAGTTGAAAGCCAAAACATCTGGAGACCCACAGGTTGTGAACCACTGAATTAAGGAGAGCGAATAGGATTTTTCTGCTGTTCCAGAGACTTAAGGGTCTATCTACACTGTAGAATTAATGAAATTTGGTACCACTTGAACTTCCACACTTCAATGCTATTGATTACTGGGAGCTGTAGTTTGGTGAAGCACCAGATTCATCCTAAGACATGATTCAAACTACAGGAAAAGAGATTCTAACTAACCATTAGGAAAGTCATCCTGATGGTAAGATCTGTTTGGAAGTGGGCTATGGTGCTGTCTGGGATTGTGGTGGAGTTTCCTCCTCTGGAGGTTTCTATGCAGAGACTAGATGGCCATCTGCCAGGAGAGCTTTGACTGTGTATTCCTGCATGGCAGGGAGTTGGCTCTTGTGTTCTCTTCTATGATTCAATTAATTGTTTCTAGATGAGTACAATTTCAGAGCTCTAAGGGTGTACAAACTCAGAGAAGGTTGATCTTGAGGATCTCTTCGTGTTTACCTGAATGTGGCTTCCTTTCAGACTTTCCCTACAAACACAGAAAGGTCAGGAGAAAGGCATAGAAGATATGTGACTCCCTCTTCTCAAGTAAAGAAATCAATTGCTGAACAGGTCTTCCTGATCATGCAGTGAACTTCGGGTTTGCTTTGAAATTTAAACAACCTAAAGAAATATAGAATAATTGCAAATCCCATCTGACCTTGGAAGCTAACTGGGGTTAGTACTTGGATGGACTACCAATTAATAACAGAGGTTGAAAGATGTATTTCAGAGGAAGGAACTAGTAAAACCAACCCTGAGTATTGCTCGCCTAAGAAAACCCTATAGTTGACAGGAGACTTCAAGGCACCACACCCTCCACAGAAAGGTCAGGAGAAAGACAGAACTGGAAGATATGTGGATGAAGACACTATCATATTGCATTGGTTTTGTTCACAGACTTTTATGAAGACGTTCAGGCATCCTTATTAGTATTTCGTAGCCCACTTATTTTCCCACTGCTTTGCATTTGTTTATCTTTCAACAAAATAATCTGCAAAAGAAATAGATAGAATTGCATAATGTCTTTTGATTGGTAATAGTCTCCTGCATCTAGATTAGGCATGGGCAAACTTCGTCCCTCCAGGTGTTTTGGATTTCAACTCCCACAATTCTTAAGCTGTTAGGAAATGTGGGAGCTGAAGTCCAAAACACCTGGAGGGCTGAAGTTTGCCCATGACTGATCTAGATAAATGAATGGGACGGTGAGGGTGCACCTACACTGTAGAATGAATGCAGTTTGACCCCACTTTAACTGCCATGGATCAATGCTATGGGATCATGGAAGTTGTAGTTTGGTGAGGCAGGAATGCTCTTTGGTAGAGAAGGCTAAAAGCCTTGTAAAACTACAACTCCCATGATTCCATAGCAGTTAAACTGGTGTGAAACTCCTTTACTTCTACAGTGTACAATGATGCTACCTATGAATATATTCTTCAGTACAAACTAATATTCCACAATTGCTTCCAGCATTTCCATCTCAGCACAGGTTGAGTATGTTGTTGTTTATTTGTTCAGTTATCTCCGACTCTTCGTTGACCTCATGTACCAGCAACGCCAGAGCTCTTTTGGCAGCCATCAGGTCACCTCTATATCGCCACCAACTGCGACTGTCCATCCAACAAGCTAGCCAGAGTCGTGCCTCTTGGCATAGTCCGCTGCATTGCCTATATTAGGCGCACGGATATCCATTGTTGCACAAGCTGGAGCGACCGCCCATGTCGATTTGGACACTGCTCACACACTCAGATCCCGACGCAGACTATGTTACAAAAACGATGGCCAGTTCGGCTCCCTTCCTGTATGTGGTATCGGAAAAAAGGAAAGGGCCCGGGGCCTGTTTAGGAACGGTGGGAGTTGAAGTCGCAAAAACACTGGAGCCTTACAGGAGTTCGTCAGTCAATTCTCAATGGCTTTAATGTCCTATACTGTAGAATTATAGAGTTAGAAGAGACCTCGTGGGCCAACTCCCTACCAGTCCAACCCCCTACCAAGAAACAGGAAAATTGCGTGCAAAGCACCTCGTGGGCCATCCAGTTCAACCCCCTGCCAAGAAGCAGGAAAATCGCGTGCAAAGCACCTTCAATAGATAGCTATCCAGACTCTGCTTTAAAGCCTCCAAAGAAGGCTGCAGCCACATATAGTATTAATGCGGTTTGACATCACTTTCACTGTCATGGATCAATGCGATGGGTGTCATGGGAGTTTATTTATTATTTATTTATTTACGACATTTATATGCCACCCTTTTCACCCCGAAGGGGACTCAGAGATGCTTACAAGTTATATGTAAATACAATATATTATATTATTAGCATAGCACAATATTAGAAACATACATTCCTATTTTGTACTACACCACTATACTGTAATATTATTGGGTTGTTGTAAGCTATATGGCCATGGTCTAGAGGCATTCTCTCCTGATGTTTTGCCTGCATCTATGGCAAGCATCCTCAGAGGTAGTGAGGTGTAATATAAAATATAATTCTTATATTGAATATTATTAGTATTATATTGTATTACATTATAATATTATCAATATTCTTGTTCTTGTTCATTCGTTCAGTCATTTCCGACTCTTCGTGACCTCATGGACCAGCCCACGTCAGAGCTCCCTGTCTGCCGTCACCACCCCCAGCTCCTTCAAGGTCAAGCCAGTCACTTCAAGGATACCATCCATCCATCTTGCCCTTGGTCGGCCCCTCTTCCTTTTTCCTTCTATTTTCCCCAGCATAATTGTCTTCCCTAAGTTTTCCTGTCTTCTCATTATGTGGCCAAAATTCTTCATCTTGGCCTCTACTATTCTTCCCTCCAATGATTGTATATGTGTATACAATATATTATATTATTAGCAAAGCACAAGGTTAGTATTATATATTACTATATTGTACTATACCACTACACTGTAATATTACATGTAATATAAAATATAATTCTTATATTGTGTTATTAGTAGTATTATATTGTATTACATTATAATATTACTATCAATATTATATGTGTATACATTATTAGCACAGCACATCAGTACTATATTAATACTTTGAGTATAGTAATATTATATTGTATTACATATTATTATCAATATTCTATGTGTATACATTATTAGCACAGCACATCAGTAATATATTAATACTATGAGTATAGTAGCATTATATTGTATTACATTATAATATTACTATCAATATTATATATGTATACATTAATAGCACAGCACATCAGTAATATATTAATACTATTAGTATAGTATTATATTGTATTACATTATAATATTATCAATATTCTATGTGTATACATTATATTAACACAGCACATCAGTATTAATATATTAATACTATAATATGAGTATAGTTGTAGTTTTATAACCATTTCATAACAATAGCATAGGTGCCTCGCCAAACTATATATCCCAGCATTCCAGAGCCTTGAGCCATACAGCTGCATTGATTTTACATGCATCTCTGACCCACTTTCAGGCCACGCCCCTCTTCGGAAGCCACGCCCACCCGCCGTGGCGATTGCCCCGCCCACTCCTGCCTCCGCCCGTCTCCCCTCTCCAGCTCCGTGCCCCCTCCCACACAGGCCTCCTTCGCCTGTGGTTGCCCTGGCAACGCGGCGCTCCTCTCACCTGCCGCGCGACGCTCCCGCCGTCTTGCTGCTGTTTCTCAGACATTTTCCTCCCTCCACGTTGCACGGATGGGCTCATGCGGACCCTTTTCCGCTTCCCTCCTGCGCATGCGCGGTACACTCACAAAAGCGGGCTCTGACTTGAAAGACGGTAGCCGCGGCAGCCATCTTTGTAAAGGGATTCGTCCCGCAGCCGCTTCTGTTTCATAACATGCCGCCATGTTTGATAAGGGCAAATCGATCAGATGGGAAAGAGACGTGGCCAAAGGCACGGCTTCTTAGGCCTCTTCCACACTGCCATGTCATGCAGTGGAATTAAACTACATTATATGAGTCTACACTAGGCCTGGGCAAACTTGGGCCTTCCAGGTGTTTTGGACTTCAACTCCCACAATTCCTAACAGCCTACCGGCTGTTAGGAATTGTGGGAGTTGAAGTCCAAAACACCTGGAAGGCCCAAGTTTGCCCAGGCCTGGTGTAGACTCATATAATGCTTTAAGATCATGTTTTAAAGATCATGTCAGGGGCTGCTGTGATTTTATATGTTTTTATGGATTTCATCTGCATTGCTTTCAATACTAAAAATGTTTAATGCTGTTTTAATATTTGTATATTTTAAATTGTGTGCTGATGTTTTTATGTTAAGCCTCTTTGAGTCTCCTGTTGGAGAGAAAAAGAGTATAAATAAATATAACAACAATAATGCAGTTTCAAACTATTATATGGCAGCCTTAGTGTATGTTTCGGGAAAAACAGGAGTATTGATCAAGAGTATACTTGCTAGCTTGCTATCATATTATTTATTTATTTGGTTGTAGGTTTTTTTGGGCTATATGGCCATGGTCTGGAGCCGTGATGGCGAACCTATGACATGCGTGTCAGCACTGACACGCATGGCTATTTTTGATGACACGCGGCCACATGCGGCCGCATACAGCGAAGTACACCTTATAAAAGCCCATCTAATTCCATCCTTAAATTTATAAAAGGCTCTACAAATTTAACATCTGCACGTTTGAGCATTGTTCACTCCATAACTCAGCATGGAATATCCATTTTTCTTATTTAAACCATAAATATTGCAAAATTATGTTGTTTTTTCTCTCAAAGTTGACACCCCACCCAAGTTATGCTCAGGTTTTTGGCCAATTTTGACACACTAAGCTCAAAAGGTTGCCCATCACTGGTCTAGAGCCATTCTCTCCTGACGTTTCGCCTGCATCTATGGCAAGCATCCTCAGAGGTAGTGAGGTCTGTTGGAACTAGTAAAAAGGGTTTATATATCTGTGGAATGACCAGGGTGGGACAAAGGACTCTTGTCTGCTGGAGCTAGGTGTGAATGTTTCAACTGACCATCTTGATTAGCATATAATGGCTTGACAATAAATATTTATTTATTTAAACTTTTATTTGCCGCCCTTCTCACCCCAAAGGGGTCTCAGAGCATCTTACAAGATATATACATACCATAAATTATATTATTAGCATAATAGAATATCATTATTATATATTACTATATTGTACTATATCATTATATTGTAATATTATTAGTAATATTACATGTAATATAAAATATATAATAATATTAGTAGTAGTATTATATTGTATTACATTATAATATTATGAATATTATATGTATATACAATATATTATATTGTATATTATAATATTACACTATTATCACACTGTTATTCTTATTTAATTGTCATGGCAACAAGTATGGAATCCTGAGATTGGTAATTTTGAAGTCTCAGTAGGGAAGAGTGGGATATTAACAATAATAATAATAATTGTTGTTGTTTAGGGAGAATAATTTAAAATTATTAGCCAGAGATCTCTTGGCCTCACTAAACTACAAAACCCAGAATTCTAGAGAGTGTTGCTATGGCAATTAATAGTGCTATAACTATATAAGGCTATACCTGTATAACAATGGGTAAGACAGAAGAGCTGAAAGTTCTTGTTTACTATTAAGATCTGTTTGCAATCAACTGGCTTGAATGACAAAAATTTACACAATGAGCTGCTATGGTACAATGGGTTAAACCCTTGTGTTGCTGAACTGCTGACCTAAAGGTTGGCAGTTTGAATTCGCGAGATGGGATGAGCTCCCGTCTATCAGCTCCAGCTCCTGCCAACCTAGCAATTCAAAAAATGCAAATGTGAATAGATAAATAGATACTGCTTTGGCAGGAAAAGGCAAAGAGACACTCCAAGCAATCCTTCCGGCCACACGACCAGGAGATGACAACACAGGCTCCTCGGCTTGAAAATGGAGAAAAGCACCTCCCCAGAGCCAAAGAGGAGCACCGCCTCCAGAAGCCGGAAATGAAAGTAGAAGCCTTTTCCTTTATTTGTGTATGCATGTCTTCATTGTATATGACTGTAAGGCAGTGAATGTTTGCCTATGTATGTAAATGCTATAATCCGCTCTACGTCCCCTAGGGGAGAAAGGCAGAATATAAATAAAGTGTTTTATTATCATTATTATCATAAGAAGAAGAGAAAGGAGAAAGCCTGTTCAATAATAACAATATATATTTCTTTGTACATTCCTTATATTCTTTCCTAAAACAAATAAGCTTTTTATCCTTTCAAATTTCACAAAACCCATCAATATAAGCCTAAGACCAATTATTAGCACCAAGCTGAGTGGATCAATGGGAGTAATGTAAGTATTATCAAGTTCTTGATTCCCTTGGACTAACGTAATAGATATTAGTTATTGGATTTGGACTTGCATTATTGCTTGGTTTAAAATACAAGATGCCTCGGCTACATATTTTACATCGTCCTATCATCTGAAATAGGTGGAGGGAGACTTTCAGATATGGGGTATTATTGGAAGGATCTGCATGGTAAAATCAGCAGAATTAGTATCTTGAATGTGATACACAAATCATGAAGATCAGTGTGAATCAAAGGTTTTCTATTGTCTGGATTTGGGGAGTTGTCGCTTGTACTGGGAAGGGCAGTTGCCATTTTATATTTACGAGCTACATTTGAGCTGCTTGGCTCTGAATTTAGCCACAGTGTGTTTTGCAGCACAAGTTATTTTTAAGTGCTGTCACGAGAAGATGTAAATTTAGAGGATGAATGTTTGCAGTACACCTTTAAAAACATAAGAAATCTGCATCGGTATGCCAGAGATCTAGGATTTGGAGCAACGGCAACACTGAACGACTAGAGCCACTGCTTTTATCATTCCGTTGGAGACGGATGTGGTGCGAAAGACACAAATGATTTCATGTGCTATTCAATTATTAATCCTAAGAGTCGCTGTGAATACAGTTTTGACCAAGACTCATAACAGACTGGCGGCAGTGCATGAAAATCTAAGGAGAAACTCGAGTGCTATAACGTTTTATTAAGTCCAATGCATTTTGAAATAGATTTTTTTTTCTAGGGACCTTTGAAACTGAAATTAAAAGCAAGTAAATACCATTTTTCAGTTACATAGAATGCATCCCACTATAATTACTATATGTCAAGAATGCTCATTGTGGGGTTGAACCATAACTTATTGATTTCATATAATAAATTTGTGTTTGAATATAAAGCTGGCACTCCGTAGCCATGGATTCTATGTCCACAAATTCTACCATCCACAGCTTGAAAGTATTATATTAAAAATTCATAAAGCAAACCTTGACCTTGCCATTTTTAAATAAGGGACAACATTTTATTACACCATTGTATATAATGGAATATGAGCATCCATGGATTTTGGTGTCTGTGGGGGGCCCTGAAACCAAACCCCAGTGGATACCAAGGGCCTACTATAATGGATTTGGAACTAATTACTGGTCAGGTATTTCTTCCTTATAGCAGGGGTGTCAAACTTATTTTCATCGAGGGCCACATCATCCTTATGGTTGCTTTCAAAGTGCCATTGAATCCATGAAAGGAGAATCTGGATACAGAGGGCAAACTATAATTTTTTAAACATAGGAATCGGCGCTCTTTAGTTTGTACTCATTTGGAATTCCCAGATGTTATTGAAAGACAACTCCCATCAGTTTTTATTATCTGCCATTTGGACCCGGAATAATGGAACCCAACAGCAGTTGTGGCTCTGCAGTGGGGGAAAAAGAGAATTGCAACCCAACAGCAGTTGTGGCTCTGAGGTTGGGGAAAGGTTAAAGGACATTTTAATCCACAATATACACAATAATGATGATGATGATGATGATGATGATCTTGTTTGCTGTGTACTAATCATGTTGTGTTTCAAATAATAATAATAGCAACTTTATTTTTGTATCCTGTCACCATCTCCCCAAAGGAACTCGAAGGGACTCGGGGTGGTTTACATGGGGACAAGCCCGGTCAAACGTAGAATTAATGTGATGTGATCACGAAGATAGACAGGTCCCAAACTGTTTAGGGCTTTGTAGATGATAACCTGCACCTTGAATTAAGACCAACCAACACAAGCCCTGTATCTAAATTCAAACTTTGCTGTCCTAAACAGAACAAACTGCAGCCTTCCAGATGTTACTGTATCACAACTCTCGTCAGCTCTAGTCATGATGTCTAATGGTGAGGAATGCATCAGCTCCAGTCATGATGTCTAATGATCAGCTATAGTCCAGCTTCTGGAGGGCCACATGAAATGACATAGAGGGCTGGACATTCTGCCTGCCAGCTTTGAGTTTGATTTATTTATTTCGTGTCTAAAGCTTTGTATAATTAAAACAAGCACAAAAGTGATACATAGAGGGAACACAAGCTGCTAAATAATTATAGACCAAAAACAGGCAATAGCAGCTGCATTGTCTGTAGCTTTAAACAACTTCCACTGTGCATGAGGCAAGCATACAGATGCAGAGTTGTTTGTTCTGCTCCACAGTTGTACAAGGTGGAGGATTCTTCTAGGTTGATACAAATTGTAGTTTGATACATGTGCCTGCATAGATATGTTTTCAAATATTTTAAACCCCATTTCAATAATTTTGTATTGACTCATTCAAATATTTATTTCAAAGGCCCAAGGGTAGAGATTTTAAATCAGAAATGTGTTGAGTTTAATAAAATGTAACAGGTACTTGGGATTGGTCTCTCCTTGGTTTTTCTTCTGTTGCCTGTATTTCCCTCTTCTTGCTTTTTTACTGTATAGTTTAGTCAATA